ACCCTACGTAGATTACTCAATGTGACCATTGTTAGTGTTTCTCACTCAAAATGCTTGTTTCTTCTCACAGCAAAGCCACATTAGGCTATCTGCTGTGTCAACCGAGGGGAATCGAACTCCTGATTCTAGCGTTGTAAAATTTGAAGACTTACCTCTGTCCCACCGGAGGACCTCAAAATGCACTTTACTTCCCCTCTCTAGTATAGTTATTTGTACACAATAGGTCCTAATATTTTAAATTATTTATTAACAAGTACAAAACCTTCCAAGATGCCAATTTATTTATTCACTGAATACAATAACTTATTAAGACATTAAATATTTGAAAGAAATAATTGCCAGACGGTAAATATAGGAATTAATCTGATGGAGATTATGAGATAATTTTCGAAGCGTGTGAGGAGAAATGGTGATAATTTTTCTACTCTTCAAATACTTTTTCGGAAGTAGACAAAATAGATTTAAACTTACCAGTTATTGGAAATAGTTATTTTTATTTAACACTACTTGGAAACAAAAGAATTAACAAAGAACCGGCCTGCCTTTATAACATATTCTTTGTCGCCATCTCGTGATGTTAATAAGATAAGAAATTCCAATCTTACGCAATTTTTCGGCTATTATTCAGTTTATATAAATATACATATTCCAGTTAGGTAAACTAGGCTTCCTTGACCACCCCTTCCAACCTCCTGCTGTAAGCCTTCATTGCAGGAAGTTTGGTATGCAAAACTATCCTTTTTCCTAAATATAATAATAATTATCTTTGTGTGTGTGTGTGTGTGCTATTTGATAAACATTTGAACAATATAAAATTAATCTACAAGCTTATGGTCTAATTCTCATTTCCTGTGCTGGCTAAGTTATTGTCTTTGTTGGATTCAAAATGCTTGCACAAAGATGGCCTGTTCTAGAATTGAATTGACAATTAGTGGAAGACAGCTACGCAACAGTATCCAGCCCCAATTCTTGTCTGACATAACTGTCACTTTTATAGCATATACACAGCCTCAAAGTGCGGAGTGTGTTTTTCCGGCAATGGGACACGAACCACGAATTTTGTCATCACAGACCGGGCACGTTAATCATTTTGCCACGACAAATCCTATTTTTTTTACTTTAGTCTTTTTTTTTTTTTGTAATACACACGCTTATAGATTTTTGTTAGATGTAGGTCAAAATAATCCAGATTAGGAAGGATTTTGATGAAGTTAATACCTTAAAGACTCTATCAGAGAAATCACTTGTTCCTCAACAATTTCTGGAGAAGTGAAACATTCATAAGATAGTGTCCAAGAACCAGTTTTTTTTTCTATTCAAATTTCTTTCATTCTCTGATTTGAAACTTAATGCCATTCAGCTTAAAAAAAAAAGAGTGCGTTTAATTTATCATAGTTAAAAATAATCATGTAACCAAAAATGTTTATCTCCATTCATTCCAAGAATTGCAGTTGGTGTCCCTCAATGCAAGATTTGTTGGAAACAAAAGATTATGTAGTGTTCTCAAACTATATAATATTTTAGCTTAGGACACTACTAAAAGTCTACATAACCTTTTAGCTTCAAGGAAATTCCAAAACAGTTGTATTAATGTTCGTTAATATTATTTTAAAAATGTTTTAACTAAACTATCAACAAAGAATTTTAAAATATCTGAAATTTATAACATAAACGATTTGTGGAGAAGTGAATCGAACCTCCAATTTTAACATTATTAGCCCTTAACCTGAGCTAACGGAGAGCAAGAATTCAATGTAAAAGACTGTTTATTAATTGACATAATTGTAACTACTTGAATACGAAACAGTTTCGTTGTTGCAACGACCTGAATACGACACAATTTCTTTGTCTTCATAAAACATATAGAGATCTGTGTAAGCCATTCTTTGGATCTTTTATTGCGAGTTCGAATATATCATTGTATTTCGAAACTTATAATCGCTCTGTTTAATGTGGCTTGAAAGAAGGTTCAAACATTTAAAGGTTTAACTTCGTGTATCTATATTTGCGTTACTCCGTTATTTAGGAAAAAGGGCATCAGAATTTTCATCTGGGTTAAAATTTCCGCAAATGGATGTTTTGTTGTTATATCAGACAATAAAAGTAGTTTGTTTTCTGTTTTGTGCATTCTGCTTATCATACAAGTTCCTGTCAGTGAAAATATAAAATAATAAATCAAACTGTTTGTTTGTGTTGAATTTCGCGCAAAGCTACACGAGGGCTATATGCGCAAGCCTCCCTAATTTAGCAGTGTAAGACTAGAGGGAGGGCAGCTAGCCATTACCACCCACCCCAACTCTTGGGTTACTCTTTTACCAACGAATAGTGGGATTGGATTGACCGTCACATTATAACGCCCCCACGGCTGAAAGGGCGCGCATGTTTGGTGTGACGGGGATTCGAACCCAAATCAAACTGAAAATATAGAGAGGTTGTTAGCCGATCCAAAAAGAAACAATTGTAGAAAAGTGAAATCAGAGAAGAGGTCAGGCAAATTAATAATAAAAAATTGACTAAATAAGAGGTCAGAAATGTGGACTTAGAAAAAAACATACGGAAGTTTTTAAAGGAAAGTAGAACTAGAACAAAGAGGGAATTTTTTTATTAGAAGAACGCGCTGAATTAAAAAACAGCTAGGAGTTTACGGCTTGTTAAAATAAAATGTGATCTGAAAACCAGAAACCAACATCTATGACAAGTTTCAAAATAACAACTATGGCAAGAATCAGAACATTGCGGTCTAATTCTAACACCCGATAACGTAACTTTTTAAAATTGATTACGTATTTTATACGCCTACAGCTGGAGGAGCAGCTTACATAACAACTTACATTAGACTGCAAATCTTATTTTTTTTTATTCACATCCCTCGTAATTATTCCATTGCGCATTTCAAATCAAAGGTGTGCGTCTAAACATTTCAGATCTATCTCTTGTCAGTCACAAGTCACTACCCAGAAGACCTGTTTCATTACCAGAACTCGTTAGCTAGCTGAACAGACAAAACTGATCTGTTATAACAAACTTTTACTTTAAAAATCTGTAATGAATGAAAAGTAGGAAACAAAAACAAAAAACATGCAATCTATCTCGATTTTTTTTTTATCACGAATATATAAACAATACTGATTGCATATTTTTGATGTAATATTATTCTCACTTTCTTTTGCCTGTTGTTTTTGTTCTACTTACATTTTTTTTATTAAGTTGATCAACATCACTTATTTAGCCTCGACCTCGCGGATCATAAAATGGATCAGTTTTATTTTTCATGAAGACATTTTAGCTCAGTCATTTCTTGACCGATTTGAGATCCGAAGGCAGTTTTGGGCTCAGGGGATCAAGCTCTTTCGACCGATATATTTAACCATGGCCAAGGTCTCGTAGAGTAATTTAATCCTGCCTAAGAGAATTTCAGGTGCCGCGCCTATTGAGGATTCCCTTTTGTTTATATCTTTATTTATTGTACCATATACATCAGTAAAATACTTTGTTCTATCATAAAGTTTTCGTTGTTTTTTGTTTTTTTCGTCTTCTTTCAATATGTGCAAACTATTCATTTACATATTTATACGGAAATCGATACTATTCACGTTTAAAGTAATACTGGCATGATAAAACACACAATTTCAGTACAAACGTCACGATAGTATTCTACTCTAAAAGTTGTAAGTTTTCATAGCAAAAATCATTTATTAAATACTGTCCAATTACGTCTATTCCATATATCCCAACCAAGTAAGTTTATTATGTGTATTATATTTTGGGTCACTTTTTGTCCATGTGAAAGTATCTTTATTCATTTATATTGCCCCCCACTGGAGCCCCCCAGTGGCACAGCGGTATGTCTGCCGACATACAACGCTAGAAACCGGGTTTCGATACCCGTGATGGGCAGAGCACAGATAGCCCATTGTGTAGCTTTGTGCTTAACTTCAAACAAACAAACCCCCAGTGGCACAGCGGTATGTCTGCGGACTTACAACGCTAGAATCCAAGTTTCCATACCCGTG